CAGAGGGCACTTGAGGCACTCTGTGGTTTCATGACCCTGGACAAAATCACCCTTTGTTGCACATATGCTTTGAAAATCTATAACCTGGCTTGGAGGTCAGATCTTTCATGCCTCCTGTACAACTCTCATGGACATGCCAAGCCCATAATCCCCATGCAGCTTCTACAACACCATGCCCAGCTCCTGCATCCCTGTGCTGATTTCCTCATGCTCTCGGCCTCAGACCCAGCACTTTCCATCATGACTCTGCTACTCTGCTCTAATCTCCCTTTTATCACCAACCCAGGGAATCACCTTCTCTCAGCCTGAGTCCCTCTCTTGTTACCAGTCTCTTCCACATAGTTTAAAGCTCTACTAAAGTACAGGTAAGTCTCTGCTCTTTAAAAAGGTTGGTTTTTATGCAATGTCTTGAAAAACATGTAAAACCTAATAAGAAGTCCTGTTCGTTTTGTTCTGTTTTGGTATGATATGTAGGACAGTGATGTCCCAGTCAAGGACCTGAGCTCCCAAACACAGGCCTGGATTCATTAGTGATGCCAGTGAGGTGGAGAGGATGTGAATTTAGACAGTTAAATTTAGGTGAAATTAGTTCCACTACAGAGTTTACATCTCATCAGACCCAGCTTCAGCATAAAGAGTTAGGCAGTATTAATGTCTGCACAGCAAAGAGAACAGGATTTATCCAAGTGGTTTATTCCTACTTGAATAGGAAAGCAGGCATGTTACAGACAGTGTAGCAAATCAGAGTTGGTATTCAGTACATCAGCGTACTTTACTGTCATGCATCACAGTTCTAAACAACCTATTGACACCTTCTGAGTCTTTCTGGCCATGTATTAAAAATTTAAGAAAACACCACTGAATCATTTATTGATCCTTTAAACAATATTTTTCTAAAGAACAAAAGTATAAAACCTAATAAAAGCCCATAATGTGGTGCAGTAACCCTGTCCCACTGATAAGCCAGCCAGCCTGCCTGCCTGCCACCTTTTCTACTATCATGAGAGTTATTGAATTTGCATTAGGTTCAAAGCACTTTCTCTGTATAAAGGCATAGGTCCGCTTATACAGATACTGAGAAAAACTGACATCTACTTACCTTTTTCTGGAGTTCCTGAATATTTGTTTCCCAGTTTTTATCTTCTTGTGAAATTTGCCTGAAAGAAAATGACACCTGCTTTTTTCCAGAGTGAAGTTAGAGATCTGCCAAGAGTATTGGAATAAATCCCTCTCATTACAAATAGATCACCCTTTCCCCGGTACAGAGTAACTCATACCACAAAGGAGTCGTGGCCTTCTTACAGCCAGCATCAAAATTCCCATGAGCGGGGACTTAAGGCTCCACTTTTGTAGCGTGAACCCTTCAGTTCATGAAGAGTCCCAAAGGCTTGGAAGGATCCAGTCTCCAGAGTATGGACCTCAGTACAGGATAGAGCTATATTCAATATATAGTTCCCTTAATAGTTTTAGGAGTTGATGTGTGCCTTTCTGTGATAAAATTAGGGTTGTGTGCTAAAATCAACAAGTCAGAACACATATATTTTACATTTGCATTTTATAATGAAGTTTTTAAGATACGAATAACTTAATCATGTTATCAACATAGTCAGCCCTCCAGCAAAAATCCTTGGGGTCTGCAGTTCAGGAGTGCTGTTGTTAATGCTAATGAATTTTTACATTGCTGTAAATATACTGCACTAAAGGAATCCTGATTGCAATATTAAATATTCCATTTTTCTTTATACTTCAGAAGTGTCTTCTTTAGAGTGTCAGAAAGTCTAATAATCTGTTATTTATATTTTTAAAACGAGGTGATTTTAACAGCTTTTTTGTCTTTAAGTAGTAATACTGTCAATTCTATTCAAAGTGCACAATATCAGCAAAGAATTATGTAAACAAAGGTCATGTTATTACTGGAATAGTTTGAGAAATCATATTTACATGTCTTTGCTCATATTGCCTGTTTAACATGCTTATTAAAGAAAATTAATTATTTTAGTTTCACTTTACTTTAGTCAATTCATTTTCAAATATTTACCACTGCTATTCTCAGTCATCAAATTCCATACTATAGCAGCTGTTTGTATTGGAACATGAACAAAATAAGGTTAGTATTTTTGTTAGTCCTTGTTTATAAAAAACTTACTATTTTCTATACATAAATGGTTAATTATGCCCACACTCAGGTTCACACTGAAGATTTGATTATGAAAAAATTGTAAAACACAGCAACTCACTGATGACATATTTTTCAAACTCAACAGTTCTCTGAAGAACACTTGAATTTTTCAGTAAAAGAAGAAATTACAGCATTTTAGTACACTGAAGCCACTATTGAGAATAAAAGTCTAATAACATATTTGTGATCTTTTTAAACCAAAACCTACCTGAAATACCTAGGCTTTAAAATTTGGGTCATATTGACATATATTTTCCAGGTCTTACACATCGCTTTTGTCCTAAAATACTTTGTGTTTTACTGAGGCTGAGAGTGGCTCTTCATATCTGTCCCAGCACCCTGATGAAAGGTCAAGAGACAGTGAAGAATACTTGTCTCATCCCAGTGAAGATCCTCAAAAGCCTTCACTTTCAACTCTGCCTAAAATTACCAGGGGTGACCCCTTGGCTGCTGAAGCAAACAGAAATATTACCCATGATGTTAGCAAAGCCATGCTATCATTCCTGACCATAGACTGAGATGAGCAGGTGCTCCCAGCTGGTACTGGTCTGACAAACTACCTGCAGCTTGTCCCCAACAAGGGTTGGAGCGGGGAGGTGGGACAAGCTGGTCCTCACTTACCTATGAAATGTCCTCAGCTTCTTCCTCAGGAGCATCTCCAGAGTCAGCACCTTCTGCATCAAGAGGCATTTCACAGCAGTCTCCTCTCTGCTGGCCGGGTTAATGCGCTGTGCAGTCAGTCTCCAAACATAGATCTCATGTTTCAGTTCTACAAAGAAGCAAAGATACTTATGGTAAAGCAGGTATAATGCATATGAAACCAAAGGCACACAAAACATATGTAATGTGGACTCAAAGCTATTAAAGTGATTGGAATGGTTTCTCAACAATTTTATACTTAAGAAGCTGTTTTTGCCATTCATTTTCATTCATTCTTGTCTCTAAGTTGGAGATGTGGGTCTGATGGATGGACGATTCAGTAGATAAGGAATTGGCTGGATGGTCGCACTCAGAGTTGTGGTCAACAGCTCGATGTCAGAGTGGAGACCAGTGAAAAACAGTGTCCCTCAGGGGTCGGTAATGGGGCCGATGCTCTTCAACATCTTTGTCAGAGACATGGACAGTTGGATTGAGTGCACCCTCAGCAAGTTTGCCAATGACACCGAGCTGAGCGGTGCGGTTGACACACTGGATGGATGGGACGCCATCCAGAGGGACCTTGACAGGCTTAAGAGGTGGGCCTGGGCAAACCTCATGAAGTCCAACAAGGCCAAATGCAAGGTTCTGCACTTGGGTAGGGGCAGCCCCAAGCACAGATACAGGCTGGGCGATGAGTGGCTTGAGACCAGCTCTGAAGAGAAG